AGGGCGTGGGAGTCCCAGGAGTCTGTCTGGGGGTGGGGGGGTGGATAAAGGTTGGGGCAGTCAGGGTACAGGTAGGGGGTAGTGTCCTAGGGGGCAAGTTTTTTGTTTTTTGTTTTTTTGCGAACAGGGGCTGCTAACAGGGAGTTTCGCAAGGGAGTTTGGAAGGGGAGTGGGAAGGGGGGCGAGGGTTCCTTGCCGGTTCTATCTGTTTTCCCTTTATTCCCCTTAAAAACCTAAAACTTCTTGCTTAAACAACCCTTTCAGCGGACAGGGGGCTGCAGACGGGAGTTTGACAGAGGGAGGCTTACGATGGTTAGGAAGACCCGCAACACCTGTGCCAGCACTGCTTCTGTCTCTTCCACCTGCGCCTGTAGCCAGACAGAGCGCCTGAGCATGGATGCTTCTACCCAGGTCCTGGTGTGGTTTTGCAGAGACTGTAACTTGCAATTTCCACTTACTGATATCCAGGCTGGGGGGACCATCCAATGTGAAAGGTGCTTGCTGGTGGAAACTCTCAGGCAGCAGGTGGGAGAGCTACAGGAGGAGGTGGCTAGGTTGAGAAGCATCCGAATCCACGAGCAATTCCTGGACAGTGTCCATGTGGAGACAGCTGAGGTAGCTGTCCCAGTACACAGGACTGCTGATACACCAGTGGTGGAGGAGGAGATGGCTCAGGGTGGACACTGGCAGTGGTTACTTCTGGCAGCAGGCAGTGCTCCACCCCTGCTCCGAACCCTCCCGCTGTGGTAATAGGTAACCGTTATGCTCTTCTTGATACAGGAAAGAAGGCATCACCCCCTACAGTAAAGGAGGAGAAGCCTCGTACCCCTAAGGCTGGGAGGTCTGCTGCCACCACTGCGAATAGGAAACGTAGGGTAGTGGTGGTCGGAGACTCTCTGCTGAGGGGGACGGAGGCGCCCATCTGTCGCCCTGACATTTCATCTCGGGAGGTATGCTGCCTGCCGGGAGCCCGTATCCGAGACGTTACGGAGGCATTGTCGAGGATTATTCAGCCCTCTGACTACTACCCCATGCTACTCATCCATGTGGGCACAAATGATACTGCGCGGTGTGACACTGAGCAGATCAAGAGTGACTACAGGGCTCTGGGAGTACGGGTGAAGGAGTTTGGAGCGCAGGTGGTATTCTCTTCGATTCTTCCTGTCAAAGGTAGGGGCCCGGGCAGAGACAGATGCATCATGGAGGTGAATGCCTGGCTGCGAAGATGGTGTCGCCAGGTGGGCTTTGGCTTCCTAGACCACGGGATGCTATTTGAGGAAGGACTGCTAGGCAGAGATGGCGTTCACCTTTCGAGGAGGGGAAAGACCCTATTTGGACACAGACTGGCTAACCTAGTGAGGAGGGCTTTAAACTAGGTTCGACGGGGACAGGTGAGCAAAGCCCGCAGGTAAGTGGGGAACATGGAGACCTGGGAGATGGGTCGGAAACGAGAGGGAGTGTGGGCTATATTGGCAGAGAGAAAGGAGGGTCAGGACAAAACTGGGAGGAAAGATCAAACCAGTATCTTAGATGCCTATATACAAATGCGAGAAGTATGGGTAATAAGCAGGAAGAACTGTAAGTGCTAATAAATAAATACAACTATGACATTGTTGGCATCACTGAAACTTGGTGGGATAATACGCATGATTGGAATGTTGGTGTGGATGGATACAGCTTGCTCAGGAAGGATAGACAGGGGAAAAAGGGGGGAGGTGTTGCCTTATATATTAAAAATGTACACACTTGGACTGAGGTAGAGATGGACATAGGAGATGGAAGTGTTGAGAGTCTCTGGGTTAGGCTAAAAGGGGTAAAAAACAAGGGTGATGTCGTGCTAGGAGTCTACTACAGGCCACCTAACCAGGTGGAAGAGGTGGATGAGGCTTTTTTTAAACAACTAACAAAATCATCCAAAGCCCAAGATTTGGTGGTGATGGGGGACTTCAACTATCCAGATATATGTTAGGAAAATAACACAGCGGGGCACAGACTATCCAACAAATTCTTGGACTGCATTGCAGACAACTTTTTATTTCAGAAGGTTGAAAAAGCTACTAGGGGGGAAGCTGTTCTAGACTTGATTTTAACCAATAGGGAGGAACTCGTTGAGAATTTGAAAGTAGAAGGCAGCTTAGGTGAAAGTGATCATGAAATCATAGAGTTTGCAATTCTAAGGAAAGGTAGAAGGGAGTACAGCAAAATAGAGACAATGGATTTCAGGAAGGCGGATTTTGGTAAGCTCAGAGAGCTGATAGGTAAGGTCCCATGGGAATCAAGACTGAGGGGAAAAACAACTGAGGAGAGTTGGCAGTTTTTCAAAGGGACACTATTAAGGGCCCAAAAGCAAGCTATTCCGCTGGTTAGGAAAGATAGAAAATGTGGCAAAAGACCACCTTGGCTTAACCACGAGATCTTGCATGATCTAAAAAATAAAAAGGAGTCATATAAAAAATGGAAACTAGGAAGATTACAAAGGATGAATATAGGCAAACAACACAGGAATGCAGGGGCAAGATTAGAAAGGCAAAGGCACAAAATGAGCTCAAACTAGCTACAGGAATAAAGGGAAACAAGAAGACTTTTTATCAATACATTAGAAGCAAGAGGAAGACCAAAGACAGGGTAGGCCCACTACTTAGTGAAGAGGGAGAAACAGTAACAGGAAACTTGGAAATGGCAGAGATGCTTAATGACTTCTTTGTTTCGGTCTTCACCGAGAAGTCTGAAGGAATGCCTAACATAGTGAATGCTAATGGGAAGGGGGTAGGTTTAGCAGATAAAATAAAAAAAAGAACAAGTTAAAAATCACTTAGAAAAGTTAGATGCCTGCAAGTCACCAGGGCCTGATGGAATGCATCCTAGAATACTCAAAGAGCTAATAGAGGAGGTATCTGAGCCTCTAGCTATTATCTTTGGAAAATCATGGGAGACGGGAGAGATTCCAGAAGACTGGAAAAGGGCAAATATAGTGCCCATCTATAAAAAGGGAAATAAAAACAACCCAGGAAACTACAGACCAGTTAGTTTAACTTCTGTGCCAGGGAAGATAATGGAGCAAGTAATTAAGGAAATCATCTGCAAACACTTGGAAGGTAGTAAGGTGATAGGGAACAGCCAGCATGGATTTGTAAAGAACAAATTGTGTCAAACCAATCTGATAGCTTTCTTTGATAGGATAACGAGTCTTGTGGATAAGGGAGAAGCTGTGGATGTGGTATACCTAGACTTTAGTACTGCAGAAAGGGATCTAGGGGTTATAGTGGACCACAAGCTAAATATGAGTCAACAGTGTGATGCTGTTGCAAAAAAAGCAAACATGATTCTGGGATGTATTAACAGGTGTGTTGTGAGCAAGACACGAGAAGTCATTCTTCCGCTCTACTCTGCGCTGGTTAGGCCTCAACTGGAGTATTGTGTCCAGTTCTGGGCACCGCATTTCAAGAAAGATGTGGAGAAATTGGAGAGGGTCCAGAGAAAAGCAATAAGAATGATTAAAGGTCTTGAGAACATGACCTATGAAGGAAGGCTGAAAGAATTGGGTTTGTTTAGTTTGGAAAAGAGAAGACTGAGAGGGGACATGATAGCAGTTTTCAGGTATCTAAAAGGTGTCATAAGGAGGAGGGAGAAAACTTGTTCACCTTTGGACACAAATCGGACATCAGGAATGGTAACATACATAAGCCAGTAAGTGAACACTTCAATCTCCCTGGTCATTCTATTACAGATTTAAAAGTCACTATCATTGAACAAAAAAACTTCAGAAACAGACTTCAAAGAGAAACAGCAGAACTAAAATTCATTTGCAAATTTAACACCATTAATCTGGGCTTGAATAGGGACTGGGAGTGGCTGGCTCATTACAGAAGCAGCTTTTCCTCTCCTGGAATTGACACCTCCTCATCTATTATTGGGAGTGGACTACATCCACCCTGATTGAATTGGCCCTGTCAACACTGGTTCTCCACTTGCGAAGTAACTCCCTGCTCTCCATGTGTCAGTATATAATGCCTGCATCTGTAACTTTCACTCTATGCATCTGAAGAAGTGAAGTTTTTACCCACGAAAGCTTATGCCCAAATAAATCTGTTAGTCTTTAAGGTGCCACCAGACTCCTTGTTGTTTTTGTTCACCTTAGTCTCTAAGGATAGAACAAGAAGCAACAGGCTTAAACTGCAGCAAGGGAGGTTTAGGTTGGACATTAGGAAAAAGTTCCTAACTGTCAGGGTGGTTAAACACTGGAATAAATTGCCTAAGGAGGTTGTGGAATCTCCATCTCTGGAGATATTTAAGAGTAGGTTAGATAAATGTCTATCAGGGATGGTCTAGACAGTATTTGGTCCTGCGATGAGGGCAGGGGACTGGACTCGATGACCTCTCGAGGTCCCTTCCCGTCCTTGAATCTATGAAACATCGTTTCGCTTAAAGTCGCATTTTTCAGGAACATAACTACGTTAAGTGAGGAGTTCCTGTATGTCTACACTGCAATCAGAGTGCAGCATCTGTAGACATATCCGAGCAGGCTTTGATCTAACTAGATTGAATAACAATAGCAGGGAAGCCACAGGCTATCCAAGCCCACCTGGAGCCTACATATTTGAGAGGCTAACCTGTGCTGCCACAACTTCATTGCTGTTATATGATCTAGACAGATCACAGCTAGCTCAGGTATGTCTAGAGAGGCTGCCATCACACTTCTGTTTGCAGTGTAGACATACCCTTTGTCTAGCTCTGCTTAACTCTCACTCTTCAGCTTCCTTTCTCACTTCTCTCTCACCTTTCTTTTCCCTTCTTCTTCTCCAGTCTTTTGGCCCTTTCTCATATATCTTTTCTCCTCACTTTGCTTTAGATTTTCTTACCAAGAGACTCCTGCCAGATGATTATAAAGCAATACCCACCTCACCCTTCTGCCTGTAGTGAGTCAGGGTATAGGAAGGAGAGTCACAGCTCACAACAGTGGCAATCAATCACCACTTTTCCTTCTTTCTCTCTCTCGGCAGCTGCTGTGTGAGGACGTGAATGTTGACCGATTCTTCCCTGTCCTCTACCCCAAGGTATGTTTACAGTAGCTTCCCACCTGCCTGTCCCTCTGATGACAGGGGCTGCTGGTGGGATGTGACCGAGACTTTATGCTTTCCGCCCTCCCAGGCTTCCCAGCTCATTGTTGCCTTTGATGAACACGTCATAAGCAATAACTTCAAATTTGGGGTCATCTACCAGAAAGCTGGGCAGGTGAGCTCTCTGCACTCCACAACCAAGCACCCTCAGGCCCAAACACACCAGATCACATTTCTCAACCCCAACCCTATAGAAGGCAATTTAAGCCAACCTGGGGTCGAGGATTTTTTTTCATTCCCTGTCACTCTTGAGTCTTGGGGGCTTCTCTCCTCACATCCCCCTGTCAATGTGGCCAAACCTAGTGCCTTCCTCTGGATCCAAGGGTTCATGCCCTGCAATTTCAGCCCTAGAGAATTCTAGTTTCTCTTTGCTGTTTATGAGCCCCAGTCCCACCCTAGTGAGAACAGTTCCTAGTGGTACCAAGCACTGGTACTATGTATCTTTTTCTGTCCTAATGTCTCCTCTCCTTGCTGTAACATTAGTGCACCTCAACTGTGAGATTGTGCCCCCTGCAGGCATTGACCTTCTCTGTCATATTGGTTCTGGGGACCCCTCGGTGCTGTCTTGAGATCTTCTTCCTTGTGGACCCAAGGAAGCCCTCTGAGTCCTAGAGACTTCTCTCCCCTCTGCATTGTCCACAGGGAGAGAACCCCCTGTTGGCACCAGAGTGAGATTCGCATTCTCCATGTTCTCAGTGCTGGAGGACAGGCCTTGTTTTATTTCAAGGAAAAGGAGACAATTTTCCATTATATATAGGGGGATAGGGCTCTGGACCCCACTGAGGTGTGAGGATGTAGACTCTGTGTGTGAGAAGGGAAGTGAGCCTTCCCCATATCAGTTTTTCTCTTTTTTCCTCCTCTCCAGATCCCAGGAGAGGTGAGAGTGTGTATGGGGAATAATCTCTGCTTATCATCTCTCCTCTCCCCTTCTAGACCACAGAGGAAGAAGTCTTCAGTAACACTGAAGAGAGTCTGGCCTTCCTGGAGTTCCTGGAGTTCCTTGGAGACAGGATCCAGCTGCAGGATTTCCGTGGGTAAGCAGGGGACAGCATGGGAGTGACCAGTCAGCACAGCATGGGGGCTGCAGTCAGACACAATTAAGGTACAAAGCACAGACTTGGGGAGCCCAAAGTAGACCCATGTGTCTTCAGCTCCAAAAAATCACAAAGCAGGTCTCCTTCTGCTGGCAGGCCCATATCCTCTTTGTGGGTCCATCTGTTAGAGGACCACATCCCTGACACTACATTATGGGTTGGATTTTCAAAAGAACTCAGCCCCCATTTAGGCTAAATAGAGCTCCAGCTGTGCATCCTGTGGGGTATTCCCAGAAAGGCTTGGCCTATCGTTTCCCCTGGGATCCTATTGGAGTCCCATTCCCTGCTGGTGCTGTGTATTTACATATCTCAGTATCCAGTCTGGTTTGCCAGCTCTGGCTCTCTCCAATAGGCAGTGTTTGGGGTTGTGTCTCATGACTGGGAGCTGGACTGAATGGTTGGGGATTTCTCACGGGAGATTCTCGGGACTCTTTCCTGGGATGCTTTTCTCCCAAATGTTAAGCTGTGTGACTGACAGCAGCTGGGACTGGCCCACAAGGATCAACAGAGAATGACAGAGCATTGACCATAGCCACACTATCCTGTGCTGCTTTGAGGTGCTAATGGGCATTGATAAGCCTTGGTCCTTACCATCTGCTTCTGTGTGGTACCCTGTGCTCTCCACATTTCTCAACTGGAGATGTTTCCTCTGAGAGTGGCAGGGATGATTGCTCCTCCAAAGCCGCCTGGTTTGGCAGGAATAGATGCCTCTCTAGTTCTCAGTGGAGAGAGGATGATGCCAATAGGAATTTCGTACAGCTGTAGTCTAGCTACTGCATTGATTTTTGGAGTGCGTGGTGCCCTTCAACCACTGAGCTCTTAAACCTGTCTCTGATGACAACCTTGAATAGCATTACTGGTGTCTACTTCCTTCCCCGCACCACATGGTACCAATGCATTCAGGTTCCGAGGAGGCTTGGATGTCACGAGGGGTCAAACTGGCACCGAATCAGTCTATACCAATTTCCGGGGCAAGGAGATCATGTTCCATGTATCTACGAAGCTGCCATTCACAGAGGGAGATGCCCAGCAGGTACCATAAGGGGAAGCACCAAGTGATTCAGGAGGATGGGAGAGTGAACTGGTGGATGGGGCTAGGGACTGGGTGTGTGTTGGAGTAGGCAGTGGTTAGGGATGGGTGTAGATTAGTGGCTGGGGTTGGGTTTCCAGCTGGGGGTATGGGTTGGGAGTGCTGGATGGGTTGGTGGCTGGGGAAGGAATCTCCCCTCTTACTGGTTTCTCTCATTTCATTTGCTCCCTCCAGCTGCAGCGGAAGCGTCACATTGGGAACGACATTGTGGCCATTGTCTTCCAGGATGAAAACACTCCCTTTGTCCCTGACATGATAGCGTCTAATTTCCTGCATGCCTATGTGGTGGTACAGCTCGCTCATGGTGCCATTGGGGAGACCCTCTACAAGGTAAACACAGCCAATGGGCCCCCTGTTTGGTCAGGGATCCCCTTGCTGGTAGTTCGTTCAAACTTCTGCCCCTTGCCTGGAGTGCAAGACCCTTCCTCCAGCTTTTGGGGAGGCAGGAATTCACCTAAACATCATTCCAACTGCTTTATCAATAACAGTCACCATGCACACAGTCCCAGGGCCCCACATCAGCGATCCGGGCAGGGACGGATTTCCAATTAGGCACAGTAGGCATTCTAGGGGTGTACAGGGAGGGTTGCCAAGTATGTGATCTTCTAGCCCAATTGGGCTATTTTTAGTTGTCTGTTGCCAGGGTTTTTTAGCAGTTGCGAATTGTGGTATTTTGGGCTATTTTACTGCCCTACTGCTGCTGGCCGAATTGCTCTGGAGTCCTTGGGAGCCTCCAGATCTGCCCCGTCCCCTGATGAGACACCCCACAAGCTGCTTGTCTCACGTCGTGCCCCCCTCCTTAGGTGACGTTTGCAGCATGTGCAGAATTCTTTTCCAAGGGAGGCAGAATTTGTTTTCTGCAGAAAATGTGCTGCAGTTCTGCCTTTCGTCCACCAGAGGCCGCTGTGGCACCAGAACAGCCTGAGCTGGCTGAGGCCGACTGGTCTGGCGGGCAGCAGCAAACACCTAGCAGGCGGGTGTCATTTTTTCTTCAAGTGAAAAGTGACAGGCACAGCAGCCTTCTTGGAGCCAGGTTAGGAGGCAGAGCAGGCCACACAGGGCTGCTGGGGGCTCACGGGGCCACATGGGGATGTGGGAGGGAGGCTCCAGGCAGGGCCACATAGGGATGTGGGAGGGGGGCTCCAGGCAGGGCCACATAGGGAGGCAGGGGGGGCACTGAAGATGCTGTGCCTAGGGGTGTGTAAGGTGTAAATCCAGCCCTGGATCCAGGACCACCACTCTGGGCTCTGGCTGACCGTCAGATGTTGCACAAGGCAGGCTCACAGTGGCCACGTTCTCAGGCTGCTTCCTGCCCCGCAGTCAAGCTCATACTCTTGGCCTGCACAGCCATTGCATGTACAGCCCATACAGTTCCTTCTCCAATCTTTTATATGTGGTACCGGTGCAACTGCTGCTGGAATACTGTGTCTAGTGCTAGAGCCTACAATTCAAAAAGGCTGTTGATAAATTGGAGAGGGCTCAGAGAAGAGCCATGAGAATAGTCAAAGGATTGGAAAACCTGCTTTATAGTGATGGATTGAGCTCCTCAAGTCTATTTAGTATAACAGAGAGAAGGTTAAGGGGTGATTTGATCACATTCTATAGGTACCTACATGGGGAACGGCAATTCAGTTAGAGAGTTCTTCAGTCTAGCAGAGAAAGGTCTAACAAGATCCAATGCCTAGAAGATAAAGCCAGACAAATTCATATTGGAAATAAGATGCAAATGTTGAACAATTATGGTAATTAACCATTGGAAGAACTTACTAGAGTTGTTGTGGATTCTCCATCACTGACAATTTTTGAAAAAACATCCAATATTGATTTAACAAGATATGCACTAGTCCAGGGATCTCAAACTCAAATCACCACGAGGGCCATATGAGGACTAGTACATTGGACCGAGGGCCGCATGACTGAAACCTTTTCATACAACGATACAAAAGTACAGTAAAAAATGAAGAGTAATATAGTATGCTATTAAAAGTCAATGTATTAACTTTTTAAAAACTGTAATGCGAAAAGTCAGTGCTAATTTAGACAGTCATTTCATTTTTGGCCACTTAGCTGGCAGCGTTTTGCATCAACAAAAGCATCAATATTAGGTTTGATATCCTGAGACGAAACCAGTCTCAGTGTTGTTTGCAAATTGTACCACATTCCATACAAAAAAATACACTAAGAGACTGTAAAGACTGCACAGTTAAGCACACGTGCCAAAATTAGAGTTGCACACACAACTTTTTCTCTGCACCTTTGAGACTGTGTTATCATGTAATCTTTTAATTACAGGGTCACGTACTGTTTCTCATATAATATATATCTTTTTTCAACACCCTTAAATTGTATAGCATCTTACAGTGATTTTTCTGCTGACTTTTATTGCGTTGTCACAGTAGCCCAATATATGCTTACTAGCAAAGGACTTGCCACGTAGCCACTCAAGTTTAAGGTAAGTATGAGTGAGGGTGGGCAAATGTGTGTTGTGATGGAAAGCTGTGTTGATTTGTGCCTGGGTTGTGTTGTGCTGGGAGATTTTGGTTGATTTGTGTTGGTGGCAAATAAGGGATGTGTACTGGGGTGAAGGGCTATCTGTATTTGGACTTGCTGGTTGTGTTGTTGTGTAGGTGGTTGTGCTGATATGTGAGGTGGCAGCTAGGCACAAGGGGGTGGCAGTCGGGCCAAGTAATCCACCATCTGTGAAGTTTCCCTCATACAACCAATGAAACTGTAGCATGCAAATTAGCTATTGAGTATGGGTGGTGATTGGTTGAGTTATCGCGGATATCACAATGGTCTAGTACTCTTGGCACAGCACAAATACACACCTTTCTGTAATTGTACACCAATTGTCAAGTAAAATAGCTGAGAACTTCAAAATTGGTTGGTAACAGACTGCAAAACCCCCACTACACCCCTTCCATGAGGCCCCCCCGCCCCGCCTCTTCCCACCCCTTCCCCACCCCCATTCCAACCCCTTCCCCAACGTCCCTGCCCCAGCTCCTCCCCCTCCCTGCCCCTATTCCAACCCCTTCCCCAAATCCCCGCCCCATCCTCCTCTCCTGAGTACGCCGCGTCCCTGCTCCTCCTCCCTCCCTCCTGGAAAGTCCTAAGCGCTGCCAAACAGCTCTTTGTCAGTGGGAAGCGCTGGGAGGTAGGCGGAGGAGCAGGGACGCGGTGCGCTGTGGGAGGAGGAGGGGGTGGGGGGGAGGGGAGCTTGGCTGCCGGTGGGTGCAGAGCACCCACTAATTTTTCCCCGTGGGTGCTCCAGCCCCAGCACCTATGGTGGGCCGCAGGAAATAACTCTGCGGGCCGCATGCAGCCCACGTGCCGCATGTTTGAGAACCCTGCACTAGTCCAAACAGGAATTATTACAGAGAAGCTCTATGGCCTGTGTTATGTAGGTCAGACTAGATTATCACAGATAGCAATCTCTTCTATGAATCCCAGGAGAGTTGGCAGAAGGAAATAGGGAGAGGATTTGGCTATCTAGCCAACCATGGCTCTGTGGGTGGACAGGCTGACTTCTCCTGTTTGCTCATCTCCCACCAGCCAGGGGCAAGGGCAGCCTTCACAGCACGGCTGCTCACTGTGGAGTGAGACTCCCCATTTGCTCCCCCAGTTCATTTTAGGGGCCACAGAAATTCACTGGGGCCCTTATCAAAGTGAAAGCAGGGGTGGCATCTGCTGTGTCTCTTAGTCCATCCCTGCTGTTGAACCCTCCTAGCACAGTCTCTGGTGGGATTGTTTTGGCCATCCTTTCCATCATTGGAGTTATAGATGGAAAAAAACTAAAAATACTCCAGGCCATTGCCCAGGAGCCACTGCAGAATCATTCCCTATAGGCTACAGTACATTTCCATTGGACCTTTCACTACTTCTCCTGGGAGATGATTCTGCAGCATAATAGATTTCACTGTGGGCAGGTTTTTCTGTCAATGCTTTCCCTATCTTAGGTCCACATTTGGGCACTGACACTATATGCTTAATGTTAGACAATCATATTTGAAAATTTTGACCATAGTACTTGGTTATTTTAATCTTTCCTCAGAGTCAAGAAATCATAGAATATCAGTGTTGGAAGGGACCTCAGGAGGTCATCTAGTCCAACCCCCTGCTCAGAGCAGGACCAATCTCCAGACAGATTTTTGCCCCAGATCCCTAAATGACCCCCTCAAGGATTGAGCTCACAACCCTGGGTTTAGCAGGTCAATGCTCAAACCTCCTCCCAAGGTAATGCAAGATTTTAACTAGCCAGGTCTCTAGTGGGAGATGGTCTTATGGCTTAGGGAACTAGCCTGGGACAAGAGAGATCAGGCATTGAAGGGTGTGCCTATCCTCTGTTGCCCCCTTCTGGCCAAGCATGGCTCAGGGGGTCCGGCTCCATTTTCCCTCTTGGACTCCTTAAAACTCCACACAAGCTTTTCTCTTCCAGTAATACCCTGGTTTACAGGGCCGGCTCTGGCTTTTTTGCCGGGGGGGGGCGGCCGGAGCCCCTGGGGGAGGGCGGCGAGCCCCGGCGGGGGCTCGGCTCTCCCGCCC